AGAATATGGTTTGGCGAATAATCTAGTCTTCAAGTTCATTTCTTTACAATTTCGTCTTTCAATTTGATTTTTGGCATTCTATGACATTGGTATAGTTTTTATTAATTTTTTTGTAACTTATGGTATATTTTTGCTCATTTTGCAACTGTTATGTACGATTTACAGTATGGTTGAAAACTTTTTTTTTGGTAAACGGCTGAAAATTCATGCGCGCGCGGATGTCATCCATATAATCAAGTCAACATGGCCTTATGAAGAAAACACTTACCAGAGTAATGTGTCCAGGTCTGTTGTGTATTGCGCAATCCTGGCCTTGGCCTCTGTAGTCAGAGAGTCTTTGTGGGGCTTGATGTGTGCGTATGGAATGTCAAAGGTCATGACAAGTTCGTTGACATTCTCCTTAGTCAGGTGACCACAGTTCCTTACCATGCTCCCAGCTGGTGCCTCGCCACCAAAACAGTATGGCAGGAACCAGGGTAACTTGAAGTCCTAATGTATACAAAAGAGAAGGAAGTTAAAGGTATTAAAAAAATGCTCATTCTGTATCACATATTTTCTAATCTTTGTGGCTCCCATGGTAGCATTGGAGTGTGGACATATCTTCTTACTTTGAAAATTTCAGAAATTTGAATTTGCATTGGTTCAGTTGGGACATAATTTTATTGCACTTTTATTACCTTCTTAGGGTTGAAGTGGCAGAGGTCTGCCAGGCGCTTCCACGGCTCAGGAGGGAAGAACAAGGCGTAGAACTCCAGCTGGTCAGCGGTCAGTCTGGACACCCAGCGACGGATGTGTCGGGCCAACGCTCCACTCATGGACCCCAGCTAGAAAAGTAAAGGGTTAGCAAATTTAGATAATGAACTAGAAAGGTTACATTTGCAAAGCAGATTCATAATGTTTACCTTCGAATATTGTCTGCTCTGTTAATTCTTACTAAAACACATTCATACATATGGTGACAGGAATCTACATCCCTTTTATGCTATAAAATTGCAACATGATGTAACCCAACACCAGTTACCATGGTGACAGATGTCTGGTTCAGGTCATTGACCTTATGTGTTTGGAACGGAAGAAGAAACAGAGCAAAATCAATATATTTTCCTTCAGTAAACATAATAAGGAGTAATCAAATATTCACATGACATAGTGGCAGAAGAAACCATTTTACTTACAGGGGGCTTGATAGCGCTGAAGCTGTCCTTGTTGGACTTGACCTTCCCTGTGGTTTTCTTCTTTGTCTTGCCAGGTTGGAGTTCCAGGCGCTTCAGTTTCTTCTCACACTCACGCACCTTGCGCCCGGAGTCCAGCAAAGTCAGGGCCTTTGGGAGAAACAGGTCATCTATTTAGCATTGGCACTACCTAGCATATTCTACAGGTACTGCACCTTCTGCACAACCTTGGGTCCTTTTACATACACTACAGTGTAATCAGCATTTTAATCAATATGAAATCCATAGCCCGACCACTCAAAATAAACATAGAGTATAATCAATGCATAATAATAAAGCACAACTGGTGCCTGAGGCAAAGAGTAGAAGAGACATCTAGCAGTCACTCAATAAATTGCACTTTGGTAATGAGAACAAATTGCCAATATAACAATTACCTTCAGAATCTTGACCAGGCCAAATTTGCTGGAGTCCTGTAGGAAGGTGTTGGCCAGGGTGTGGTCATGGCGGGCCCACGCTGCTGCCAGTGCACGGATACGTGACCCTACAGAGATAAAAGGTGCACAGAAACATGTCAGAACAGCCTGATGATCAACCCAGTCAGAGTAACCATTTTCTTTGTAGACCTGGAGAGCAACAAACTTTTTGGTAGGCCATTCATATCCCACTCTAGATCCAAAAGTGATTGACAGAACCACAATGACTATTTTACCTGCTGAGTCTCTTGTTCTCTCTGCAAATAGGTCTGGATTTGCTTGATTTCCGACTACTTGGCCACTATTTGTAGAGAGGACGAAAGAGACTTGGCAGGTAAAATAGACAGTGTGGTGTTGTCAATCAAGTTTGGTTGTTGAGTGGAAAATGAATGGGCAGCTAAAAAGTAGTTGGCCTTAGGTCTTCAAAAGAAAGTCGTTACTCTGTCTGGCATGCAGCTACTAAAAAAAGGCCTTTGGTAACCAGGTAGTGACCATTTCAAAAATGAGGATTTCTGCTCATGTGAATTTAATTACCTTGAGGAAACTCGACTCCATTCTTTTCCAGCACGGCCATGACAGCTGCGTAGCGGATCTTGTCTTTCTCCTGTGCTGCATGATGCTGCTGGAAACTACAGTTACTGGTGAACAGGGTCATCAGGTCACAGGTCAGGTCATCTGATGACCCCTGACCTTCAGCCTCCACACCCCACTCATCCTGTTGGACAAAAAGTAGTAGTTTATCATTCGTAACTTGACAGTTGACAGAAAAATGACAGTGCTGAGATGGAACTTGACCGCTTTACTTCTCCAGAATGACAGAGATCGGACTGCACCTCCTTTTATATCTTTTTCTGTGCCTCTCTAGTGAAGGGCCTTCTGTTCGAGTTTAAAATATTTACCAATCAGGGTCATCAAAAAGTAGTAGTCTAAATATATGTCATTCACTCAAGGAAAGGTTAAATTTGAACAATTTAAACATAAGGTGAATACAAACATCTGAACCACAGCACTAAGTTCTAGTTCTAGTTCTATACAATACTAAGCAATACCCCTCACGGGGTCTAATGCTTTAAGGGAAGTGGTCGTTCCCCAGCGTGACCGGTGGTGGTGGTGAGGAAAAAAAAGATCACAACAAACAAACAATACAAAAACAAGTGCAATAACTATGTACAAAAGTCATGGCTGGGGATTGGCCACGTTCCTACAGCTGGGTACAGCTAGGGAAGCCATAATGACTGGCTACCCCAGCTTTGAAATGTTCAACTGACTTAGCCATTACCAGATGGGCAGGTAAGGCGTTCCATTCGATCACTGTTCGTGGGAAAAAGCTACCTCTAAAAGTCTCTGTTCTACAGTGTAGTGTGTTGAAACGTAGCTGGTGCCCTCTGGTTGGGTTTGTGTTTCTTGTAAGAATGTGGTGTAGAGGAATGGATATAAGATTGTTGACTGCTTTGTAGAGGAGGCATAGACGCTGTTGTTGTCTCCGTTGCTGGAGCGTTGGCCAACCAAGTGAGTTTTGTATGGCAGTAATGCTGCTTGAGTGTTTGTAGTTACCTGACACGAACCTTGCGGCTCGTTTTTGCACTGACTCTAGCTTATCAATTAGACTGTTGGTTTGGGCATGTATCTGTTTGTGTGGGTCCCATACTGATGAAGCATATTCAAGTTTGGGTCGTATTAGTGAAGTGTAGGCTCTGGCTCTCACCTGCTTACTTGCCCCCCTTAGATTGCGTCTGACGAACCCCAAGGTGCTGCTAGCTTTCGCAGTAATGTCATTGATGTGTGCCTTCCACCTGAGGTTGTGGCTGAGTATGACACCTAGGTAGGGATGCTGGTTGTTGTGGTTTAGCGGTTCATTGAACATAAAATAGAGATGAGCAGGTGATCTACTGGACTTGTGGATGTGGAGAATAGAGCATTTATTTACATTAAACCGGAGCTGCCAATCTTGTGACCATTTACAGAGTTGGTCCAGATCTTTTTGGAGAATTTCCTGGTCTTGACTACAGTGTATCGGGCGGTAAACAAGACAATCATCAGCAAAAAGTCTCAACTGTGAAGATATGTTGGCATTTATATCATTAATGTAAATGAGGAACAACAATGGCCCCAAAACTGTCCCCTGCGGAACCCCAGATTTAACCCTGACCAGGCTTGACTTTTCCCCATCAACCACTACCTGTTGGTAGCGGTCAAGTAGCCAGTTTCTGATCCAGCCTAAGTTTTTACCTCTGATCCCATGGTGCTCTAGTTTGTTAAGTAGTCGGGTGTGCGGAACGCTATCGAAAGCTTTGGAAAAATCGAGAATGGCCATGTCTATTTGAAGACCCAAGTCGACCCAGGATGTTAAGTCATGCAAGGTTGTTATTAGTTGCGACTCACAAGAATGTCTGGTCCTGAAACCATGTTGTGTGGGGAGAAGTATGTTGTGATTTTCCAAGTGTTTCATTGTGGTTGAAAACATAATGTGTTCTAACAATTTGCAGCATACGCAGGTAAGGGAAACAGGTCTGTAGTTTGAGGGATCACTTCGATCTCCCTTTTTGAAAATAGGATTGATGTAAGCTTTCCTCCATTCCACTGGAACCTGTTCCTCCTGCAGAGACTGGTTGAATATAATGCATCTTGCATGAAGAAATTTCAAGAAAAATTAAGAATAAATAAGAAAAGAGCAAGAGATAGTTCAAAGATTCATTTCTTGTACATTTTCACTACAAGAAAAATTTTCTTATTTTCCACAAAATAAGGAAAAGCTTTTGTGTAGTTCAGTTTATACGGACAGAAACCATGATCTGAGATGGTCCTCATGTACAGTACTTTACATTAACTATGGTTGAATATAGGTCAGCCATTCCCATGATTATTCTGCATAGAATTACAGGTGAAAAAGCTATAGACTGCATGGGGCCTGTCCTGCAACCATTTGCCATTATCACTGATGTACTGTCACTAAGTAGGAACAGTCCTGGAGAAATACATATGAAAAAAGATGGTGAACATCAAAACTATTTGCCAAAAAGCAGTTACTCAAGCAACAGGATAAATTATTTTGGAAAAATCCAAATTTAAAAAAATCATATCCAGTTGCTTGAGTAACTGCTTTTTGGTGTATCCTATTACCTGGATGTCTAACCTTCATCGACGCATCAAAACTATTATTACAATTTAGACAGAAAATGATAAAGCAGAGCTCCATGCAGAGATACAGTAGGAACAGCCCTGGAGAATTCCCTATCAGAGATACAGTGTGCTACGTTAGCGGAATCTAGGTCACCCTGATCATGAACATTCTCTCTGCCCCTTCCCACATGTACATGCATGGCAGCAGTTCAGGCAACCTTCCAAAACAGAGCCACACCAACAGCATTAAGTATAACTACGTGTTGGAAATCCCCATCAGAGATGCATGTGCTACATTAGCGATGAGCAAATCTAGGTCAGCACAAACATGAACATTCCCTCTGCCCTCCCACCTGTGTACATGGCAGTCTGCCATCACAGACTCACGTACACAACAAATCAGCGACTCAGGCAACCTTCCAAAACAGAGCCACACCAACAGCATAAAGTGTAACTACGTGTTGGAAATCCCTATCAGAGATGCAGTGTGCTATGTTAGCGATGAGGGAATCTAGGTCAGCCTGAACAT